GCCACGGATGGAGTAGCCGAGAAGCAACTTGATGCCATGCCAACTTGCGATAAACGACATGAGTTTCTTAAACTACCTGTCGAGGGCTGGAGAGGAGTTGCAGATGGGAAAGTTCTCTTGGAGGGTAAAGAACCGGTAGAATTTGGTGAGCTCCTGAAACGGACACGAGATGTTCTTTGCAAAGAGGCTTGGGAGGAGTTCTGGAGAAATTGATTCATGCACTTGTAGTCGCTAGTAAGATACGACGGAAGAAATATTTCAATTCATCCATTTTTCCGGACTTCTAAAAGTGCATGAAGGTTGCGGGTCCAACATGTGGTGACCAGATAGCCTCACCAAGACTACTGCAACATAGAAGAACACCCTCAGGTGTTTGCGATGGGTAATGATGATCGGGACGATCAAAAGCACCAGTCTAGTAGATCCCCTCGCAGTATTCCTCCTATCTGACCCCTGGTCCCCTGCTGCCTAGACGAGAGGTGAGGACACATGTAAGCTTACTCGACCTCCTTGTCCCCATTGAGAAGGACAGATTTACACCACCAGCATCCATTTTGCAAAAGTGCAGCTGTTCCGCACGTATACAGTTGGCATAATATAACATGAATCAGTAAACACCCGATAATTTGCAGAATAAGGTGCAACTTAAAATTCCTCAGTCCCGGTTTGAACCATTAAGCGAAGCCATTCGAATTCTTACGCAAATCTTGCATTCCTCAAACATGACGTTCACTATCTCAGCCGTCACCTACGATGACGCTGCTGGAATTTCGAAGAACAACATGACGGCCTTCTATCATACCGATACTCATTGGCGCGCGCTCTGGAAGTCGACGCCTTTGGATGAGATCATCGAGGGTGCCACAGCTCGTATGCCCCACAGCCTCGCCGGCGGTAGGGAAAAGAAGAGACACCAGAAAGCCGTTGATGATGATAGCAGTGAAGTCGTGGGCTACGCACGGTGGATCCTGCCAGATGATGATGACCGCATTTCTTGGCCCGAAGCAGCTGTTCGGGAACCCAGGCAAGATGAAGCTGATAAGTTCAAGGCAGCCTTCCAGGCCAATACCGAGGGCGGTTCTATCAGGGGTATGGATGGAAAGCTACAAGCTGCTCTTGGACTGCCTCTCGAGGAGGCTGAAATCGCCGCAATGCAATCACATAAAGGCCCATTCCTGGGTAGGAAAACTCATCTCAACGACTACCTACGCTCATATCAGCTGACTCATAGCAGTTCTTGATTATCTTGCGGTCCACCCAGATCACAGACGGAAGGGGATTGCTTCTGCTTTAGTGAAAAGTGGCCTAGAGCAGGCTGATATAGTCGAGATGAAAGTTTGGGTAATGGCTACCAAGACTGCGCAACCGATGTACGAAAAGCTAGGATTCGAGCTCCTTGATAGCGTCAAAACACCTGTCACAGAGTTTGGAATTGCAGAGCCGCACGAGAAGGCCTTTTTGATGAAGAGATAGAATTCGAACCCACAGTACCGGGCTTAGAGCCCTCGGGCTCAAGTAAGGGAAAGCTAAGAAACGAATGTGTATGGTTTTGCGCTCTTCAGTGTCTATGATCTACCAAATATACGCCTCAAACGCCGCGTTAGTGCTTCTAGCCCATGTGTCAAATACAGAATTTCCGCCAACGCCCTAATCAAGTTGACGAGTTTGCATCAATGCTTTGTGTAAGTCGGAGCCTCTGCGATAAGCGCTTAGTAGGTGTAGCGGAAGTCCGATGCTTGGGTTTCCTGGAGTGATCGGCGAGTTAGCAATGACTTTGCATACATAGTTTGCTCGATCTATATAAGTAGATAGATGGGTCGAGAGGCAACTTACATCCGATGCTTCGAGCTCAACCTCACCACGCTCGGCCTTCGTGTTCCAATAGCGGAAGTAAAAGCTTAAAGCAATGACAATTATGACGTTTAGAACCGCGCATCCCAGACAAGTGCTCAACCCAGGCAGGTAATGAGGCTTGTCTTGGCTTCTGTTATTTGGTCAGTATCTCACTCGCATATTGAGAGAAGAGTTTATTTGATATCAAGGAGGACCCTAGCTGGGTCGCACACATGGAATGTGGCCTAGGGCCTGCAACACACGTACCTGAAAACAAGAGAGCCGGCGATGCCACCGATTCCGCTAACACCGACTACCATGGCACTGCAAAATGCGCGCTTCCACTGTCCTCGGATGTTGTTCGCCTGATATGCCATGGTCGCCGGCACAGCGCTTACACTCCCTGCGGTGATGAGAAAGACGCCCAAGTATCGAACGGCAACATCGCTGTGGAAGCCCATCAGGCAGGTCCCGACAATTGACAAGACCATATCGCCAACAATGATGGGACCTCGAAGCATGTATCGATCCCCTAGCCAGCCCGTGGTGTAAGTCACGATTGCGGCGAATACGTACGGTGGCGCCGTCAAGATCTGAGCTTTTCCCGTGTTGAAGCCCATATTGTCTTTGAGGATGATTGGCAGAAAGAAAGATAGCGCTTCATAAAGATTGATTAGCGAACGGTTTCAGAAGTATTTTTGCACCACTTACAGAATATGATGAGGGCGTTGTTGAAGTAGATGATAGACAAAGCCCAGACTTTGATGTCAGCCCCGCCTCTGAGGAACTTCTTGACACTGAAAGACGGCAATTCCGCATCTCCTCTATCGGCCTGAACTCTCGAAATCACCCAAGCAGTTTCCTCCTGAGAAAGAAAGTTCCAGGCGCTCTTTTTAGCATCTGGAAACCCGACGAGGAGAAAATAGCCGACGATGCCAATAGCGCAGGTTATGACACCTTCTACGATGAAGATCCAGGACCAGCCCCTGAGGTTTGCGGTTCCATCAAGTTGGGTGAGCTACACAGAGGGGGTGGTCAGAAATTTATTTCATCATTGAGCTTTGAGAGGCAAATGTTCAAAGACGACTGCTAAGCTCCATTTTGAGATGCACTTACTCCGAAAGCCAAGATTCCCGCAAATGCAGAAGCAAAGCAGACAATCATATAAAACACCGAGTAACGTTTTCCAACCTCGTCTAGTATAATTCATTAGTACGAACCTAACGGTTCCAACTGCCACTTCAGAGAAAAGGACTTACAACGGGTGTACCAAGTGCTCAAAAGGTAAACGCAGCTAGGGAAAAATCCAGAGTCGAGAGCACCAAGGACCACTCTCAAAGCCACGAGCTGTCCCCAGTGCGTCAGAAAGCCCATACCAATTACTATGCCACCGCAAATCATTGTGATAGCCGTGAAGTAGGCCCGGGGGCCCAACGTTCGGCCAAGAATGACTGAGATCGGCTGGAAAGTGATATAGGTCGTGAAGAAAACCAAGCTAACAACCGACTACAACGTCCACTTATCAGTCATCTCAGATCGCGCATCTTATCAAAGAAAATACTGTTTGCCAGAGATTTGAACTCACGTAGCGGTTGCCAGTCAAGTCTAAATCTTCTCTCATGCCGGCAACGGCGGCAGATGGAAGGTTCGACCGGTCAATCACAGAGAAGCAGTATAACAACCCGACAGTTGCAACAAGACGAATGTCAACCCGTCTCATGATTCTCTTCTGCTCAGCCAAAGAGAATCCATGAGCTTCCTGCTCCATTGCCGATTGCGTTCTGTCAAGGTCGTTTAGTGCCGAACTGCTCTGGTCAGATGTCATGGCTTTCTTCATGTTGTTTTTAAGCGAAGACATCGTGTTGATATTGTATTTCGTTGTCTTTGTGTGCTTCCGAGAGCTGTTCAGTTGCTGATAGTGAGTGAAACGCAAACATTGTGTGAACATGCCCGCTTTATCATTATTTTCTCTTGAATTCTTTGTCCCTCCATTCACTACATTGGTGTTGAACCTCGCCAAGGGTTGAGATCCTTCACCTCTTACTCTCCGTTAACTCTAGAATCATCGCGATCGCGGTTCACGACGAGGGTGCTTCGTAAAGTTTACTAAGGCATGTGAAGAAGGATGTTGTGTTGTGACGAAGCATCGTGGTGTAGTGCATCAGAAAGAGATAAGCGACGATGGCGCGCGCGCCAGAATTTGGAATTTGCTTGGCCATGAGCGGGCCATCCGACGGGAGAAAAAAACTTGGCTTGGGTCATTCCCACTTTCCAGGCTAGAGGTGTTTGGTTTTCCCCGCTACCCCAGCCAAGCGGCATCAAGAGGTGCTGAAAATAGCGGTACTTGAGTGGAAAGACCTTGTTTCCTCCGTCAAAGAGAGGAGGCGTCTCATTGCTGCCCGCTGTTCGTGTAGAGCGGAAACAAAGACACTGTGCTGGTTGCCTCATTGTAGCATATACAGGCCATTTTGATCGACTGGATACAGGATCCTGGGAGCTCGAGAGCTCGGAAGAACACTTCAGAGACAAAATCAAGCCATTCAAGCCATATACTATTCCAGGACCGACTTAGGGCTTGAAGGATTCACTTGCGGGGACTTGTGAGTGAGTATTCGACCCAACATTGAACACAGTAAGCGACATTCAGTGGATGCGGGGGGGGGAGGGGTGCCTTCCTCCAGATGGCGCTTGCCACGGCAAGAGAAAGCAAGAGAGGCCGGACGAATCTCGAAAAAGCAAATCCACCGAAAGCTTGGCCAGGAGCTCGTTATCGGGTGTTGGTCTCTACACGAGCAGATTTGTGGTAGGCGTAATCCCGAAGACGCCCGCGTCTACAACACGGTGGCTGGGGGGGGGGGGGGGGGGGGGGGGGAGGAGGCTTCATCTAGAATTGAGCTTGTCTCGATTGAAGAAAACTCCCGACGGAGTTCGCAGGCAAGAGAAGAGGAGAATAATACATCCTCTTCGGGGATTTTCTCATAGTCTAATCAACTACTCCGCGGGAAAATGAACCTGGGCGAGGAAGCATGGGATGCTGTCGATGGCTTTCTTGGTTTAGCGTCGAGATCGGGTTCATGAATTCCCTGCGGCTATCCCGGGTATCTGCAGGCTCCGTCATGATGCAGATCGTATCCAGTCTGTCGGACTTCCACCAGCCTGGTCATAGGCTACGGCAATGTGTATCCGCCATCGATCACAACGTTTGATCCTGTCATGTAACAGCATGCATCACTGGCAAGGAAGACATAGAGCTATCCAGAGCAACATTAATTAGGGCTGTCCATGTGTCATGCAATGCAGGCCCGGGGGGGGGGGGGGGGGTTACTCACTCCTCTTAGCTCGGCAGGATGACAAACCCGGCCACCTGGGATCATTGATAGCCAATGCTCCATCAGCTCTTTCGGCTGCTTTGTCAACACTGCAAGGAACACCGTAAGCAACATTGCACGTGGGTTTGGGGCCAAATATAGGACTTTGGGGAAGAAAAACCACAACTGACTTTCGGTGAGGATGTATCCAGGCGACACGCAATTGACGCGCGCAAAATTAGCCCATTCGACGGACAGACTTTTGGCAAGCTGCACGACCGCCGCTTTGGAAGCATTATACGCAGCTTGCTCCTGGGGCACGTTGACCAAAATAGCACTCACGGAGGCGGTGATGACTAGGTTTCCTCTCCCTTGCTTCTTGAAGATATTACCCACAGCCTGCGCAGTCCACATGACGCCGTCGTAATTGACGCTGTTCATATCCTGCCATGTCCGTTCCGTGTACTCGAGCGACTTGACATTTGCGCAGACACCCGCGTTGGCCACCGCTACATCAATGCGGCCTCCGCCGAACTCGCTGGCGATTTGGTTGATGGTTTTCGCAATGGTCTCTCGGGACGTGACATCGGATTTGTATGCCTGGACGCGAACACCCGTCTCCTTCGCGATTCGAGCAGCTGTTTCGTCAGCTTCGGTGTTGGTCTTGTAGATGAATGCAACGTCTGCGCCAGCCTCTGCCAACCCGCGAACGACTTCGGCACCAATCCCCCTTGAGCCTCCAGTCACTACCACAATCTTCCCTTTGAGGGAGAACTGCGTAAGGATTGGAGCGTACAAGTTCTCGGGTTGATAGAGAGGCATGTTGAGAGACTGCTTTCGTGACGGAGGTCAATGACTGCCGGACTGTCTGGTTCAGATTGTAATCACGCTTGGGTTCACCATCTTGAAGGCAGTCTTATATACCGGATAGGTCTACCAAATCATCGAAGCCATGTAAGAGATATCGTCTCGTGAGAGCAAATGGTCTTTCGGACTTGGAGTGGCTCAACACAAAGCTCCCCATCTGTTGACAGCAGGCCATTTCAAGACAAATACGGGTCAAGACTATGGCCACGCGATTCCACGCTCTTGATGACCCTCCTTCCGGAGACTCGACAGCCATGGCAGCTCTGCCCAGCAACCGAGCGCTCGTCTCGAGGGAAGACATGGGCACTGCTAGGCCTCCCACCGGTCGTCCCGAGCTAGGACGTTTGAGAGATTGAATGGCATGATCTGCTGCGTAATACCAACCCATTTGACGTCCCCATGGGGTTTCCCCGCGTTGGTCCAAGGTAGTTCGGTTCTTGGGTTAGACTACGTCACTTTTGATCGATTAGATTAGTCCGAGCCGACTAGGACGAGTTCCGAATTTGGTTGAAGAAGTAGTATCTTGTATAACTAGGAGAAGACACTCAGATCTCTGACTTGTAACATAAACTATGTTGCTATCCGACTCAGAGTAGGACTCAACGGCAAACTTTGCATCATTTTGTTTCACAACCGCTACGATGGACCAACGTCACAAATGGATGGTGACGGCAAAGTTCGAGAAGAGAGCTCTTCTCATCGCCGTCAACGCCCTTGCCGGAATGTCAATTTTCTTCTTTGGTTCGTCTGACTGCTTCAGCTAGCCCACACGTCGGAAGTGCGTGCCTGATGCGAAAGAAATGCTGACAAACCTGATGTCCAGGTTATGATCAAGGCATGATGGGCGGTGTGAACAACGCCAAACACTACATTGATCTTATGAAATTCGGATATGTCGACGCCGATGGCACTCCAGTCGTGACCGACACTCTCCTTCAAGGCGGCATTATGTCTGTCTTCTATCTCGGCACCCTCATCGGCTGTATGGTCGGAGGATCCATCGGCGACCGATTTGGCAGAATCAAGACTATTGCTATTGGTGCTCTTTGGGGTATCTTCGGCGCGTCTTTGCAGTGTACAGCCATGAACTCGAACTGGATGATCTGCGCTCGTCTTCTGAATGGCATCGGTACCGGCATCTTGAACGGCATCGTGCCTGTCTGGGCATCAGAACTCGCAGACTATACTTCCCGAGGTGCCTTCATCGCCATGGAGTTCACTTTGAACATCTTTGGCGTTGTCGTTGCCTATTGGCTTGGGTGAGATTCAACTGGCAGATCAAAATATGTGAGACATGAGACTAATCAAGTTAATCGTCACAGATATGCTGTGAGCTTCATCGACAATGGCGAGTCGGCTTTCCGATGGCGCTTCCCCATCGCCTTCCAGATTATTCCGCTGCTCTTCTTGCTCTTCGGGTGCTTCCTATTCCCCGAATCGCCTCGCTGGCTTTGCAAGGTCGGCCGAGACGACGAATCCCTCTACATCTTGCAGCGCCTCCGAGGCACCCACGACGGTATCGCCGAGGCGGAACTTGCGGACATCAAGGACGTGGTCAGACTTGAGCAGTCGGCCGAGGGAACCAAATACCACCACATGCTCTTTGGTCTCAAGTGTGGAAAACTTCACACGGGCCGAAGAGTACAACTGGTTATTTGGCTGCAAATCATCCAGTGCTGGACCGGTATTGCTGGCATCACCATGTACGGCCCTAGTAAGTCATAGACTCATCTCGAATCATTCTTGTTGTAAGAAAATCCTTTGCTAATCAGAGTCGCGAGTAGCCATCTTCCACATCGCCGGCTTCGGTCCATCCAAAGCTCTGTGGATCTCTGGTCTGAACAACATCTTCTACATGTTCGCCACGCTCATCTGTGTGTTCACCATTGACAGGATTGGAAGACGCTGGACGCTGTACTGGGGCTCGGTCGCTCAGGGCATTGCCATGTTCCTTGTCGGTGGCCTATCCCGCGGCGGTCTCAATGCCAGAGCTATTGGAAATGACGACGTTGCCAACTCATGGGGAGCCGCAGCCGCTACAATGGTTTTTCTTTAGTAAGTGATCTCGACACATCTTTAATACTCTGTGAATCACTGACACTTTCGAAGCACGTTCGTGTTTGGCGCGACTTGGCTCACTGTACCTTGGTTGTACCCGGCGGAGATCTTCCCGTTGCAGGTCCGAGCCAAGGGTAACGCCTGGGGCGTCGTTGGATGGAGTATCGGCAATGGGTAAGGCACCGAAGTCTCGGAATAATGTAGCTCAAAACTTATCGCTAACTCTGCACCAAATCAGTACTTTGACACTTGTTCTTCCGTACATCATTGGAGCCATCAATGAGAACGCGATGTACATCTTCGCGGCCATCAACGTCATCAGTATTCCAATCGGTAAGTTGACAGGCCCCATACCCCAATTGTCTGGCTTCGTCTTTCTAACTGTTTGCAGTGTGGGCTCTGTACCCAGAGTCGAATCAAAGAACCCTTGAGGAGATCGATTTCCTCTTCGCTGCAGACTCACCGTGGACGTGGGATGCGGAGAAGAAGTTCAAAGAGCTCAAAGCCGAGCACGAAAGTCGTGTTGGTGCCGTTCGAGCAGCTGTCGGAGGCGATCTGGAGAGCAAGGGAGAGAACTCCAGCACCCATGTTGAGAAGTCTTCTGGCTCGGAGATTCAATGATTCAGGCGTCGTACTCCGTGGTTCAGGATCCTTTAGATAGTGCCCACCCGGATCGCTCAGCAGGAGGACAAACAACGTGCGGGATAGGCTTGCAGGAGTCTCAGAAGGTCGGTCATAAGAGGAAAAGAGGGCATTTGTGATACATAACTTTAGCGCCAATATGCATCAACATGTCAAATCTATCTGCATCTCACACTATCTTGACAATGGATAGAGAACGCTTTCCGGGGAGCTGATCGCAACCACTGCATAACTCTCCCTTACTTCTTGACCTTGGCTGGCATCTCACTTGGTCTTCCAAGAATGAACAGCTACATGTAGCAATCCGTCAGTCCCCGTGACACCTACCTAATGCCATGAACCTGTTGCCACGATAATCTGCGCATACCATGTAGAGTTCGGATATATTAGTCTTAGTTCGTCGGACCATACATACTATGGTGCATAAGCTTAGAAATCCACATCTTGGTTCTCGATTGCTGTAGGTGCTAAGTCAACTCAAGCAAGGTAAGCGACTCAAGCGAATCAACCCAAAACAAGTTGTTCGATAAGCCACCTTACTTATGACCAACAGTATATTGACTGAGTCCTGAAGTTACTAGCCCCGTCTGAACAACACTGGCGTGGTTCGACCTGGAAACGTGGTACCGTTCCTGACATGAGTCTGTTAGGTCCACCTTCATGCAGCCTCAGTTCCCTCGAGACGAGGGTGCGGGGTAAGACAGCTGTGTAGATGTGAACATTCCGATCCGGAGCAAGTCAAAGCGCGGAGGATGAGGCTAAGCGGAGAGAGCGAGCAAAGTAAACAAGATTGCACCGCGGCGGGTTGAATCCCGGCTTGTAATCATGATTTAGCTAAAATCATTTCCATTAACTGCTGGTCAGGCTGTTGAAGTTTGAGGTCGAAATTCGTCACATTCACGCGTCAAATCAAAATGGCTTCATCAAGCTGGCGGCTGCTGAAAGGCAAAACAGCCTGCATCACCGGAGGCACAACTGGCATTGGCCGTGCGATAACACTCGAATATTTGAGACACGGCGCCAACGTCGCGGTCAACCACCTTGGCCTTCCTAGCGACGAAAAACACAAACTCAGCCTTATCGAAGAAGCGGAAAAGATCAGAAAAGATGCCCCCAAAGATTCCCCGACGGGCGAGTTGATTGAGCTTGCAGGCGACGTGACAGACCCGAATACTGGAAAGGGGCTCGTTGCCGCAGCAGTCAAGAAATGGGGTGGACTGGATGTCTTCATCGCGAACGCTGGCATTTTCAAGCCAGCTGAGTTTCTCACGTATGTTTTTTTGGTACGCTACGACAAAATCTTGGGTGGTAGGCTAACCACTTCGCAAATAGACTCGAAAAGGAAGTCTTCGATAAAACACTACACGTTAATGTCAACGGCGCATTCTACTCGTGCCAGGCAGCGGCGAACCAGATGGTTAAGCAAGGACGCGGAGGATCAATCATCGGCATCTCATCAATCAGCGCTCTGCAGGGTGGAGGTCTGCAGACACATTACACGCCGACAAAGGCAGCGGTCCTGTCAATGATCCAGTCAATGGCAGTGGCTCTTGCAAAGCATCGCATCAGATGCAACGCTCTGCTTCCTGGCACTATCCACACACAACTGGCGGAGGAAGACATGCAGAATGAGACGAAGCGCAAGTATCTTGAGCAACGTATTCCAATGGGCGTGGGCAAGCCTCATGATCTGGCTGGGCCGGCGGTTTTCTTGGGTTGCGAGGAATTAAGCGGGTTCATGACAGGATCCCAGATGTTGGTGGATGGTGGTATGTACGTTCATTTGCAGTAGTTTTTAGATATAGTTTCCGACTTTCGGTACAGAACCTCAATGTGGCACATTCTTCGAAAACACGTTGTACCATAGAGTAAAAATAAAGGTAAAAAATCAAAATAAACCCACTCGTAAAATCGCCAAATCCCAGCCCTTCCCCAAGCGTGCAAAGCACCAGACTACTGTCCATCCCACCGGGACCCAGTCGGAGACCGGCGGCTCCACACCGGGTTCGCCGAGCCGGAGCCGTCTCCAACCTTTCAGCGGGGCGCTCCAGGTTACCCCGCACGGGCGTCTGCCCCGTGCGCACATAGTACGTACAGTTAGTTCTCCAACCAGTCGCGACTCTTCGCAACTCCAAGTGCCAGTGTCGCTTCCACCTTCCTCTTCCTAATAGCACCACACGACTCGACTCTGCATCTTGTTGCCCCGAATCCTGTGAAAGTAGCCACACATCAAATCCGTTTCCCATCCGTATCTACATATTACTTCTTCAGATTCAATGGCATAAGTATCATCAAGATGAGCGCCGATGACGAAGATTCACAGCCATACTTCACCCGTGGCCGCCTCAGTCGTGGCCGCGGCCTCAGAAACAGTACCGGCTGGTGAGTAGTATCCCTGCCCTAGACCTGAAGAAAACTCTTCGTAACCTGTCTCAAACCTGATAATTGCTTCTCGCAGTGCAACATGTCGCCGCCGTCATGTCAAGTGCGACGAGAGAAAACCTGTATGCGGTGGATGTGAGAGAACCAGACACAATTGCCTTTACACACCAAGGCGGCCACCAAACAGAAAACGGTCTGGTCCTGTCGTATCAGTCACCCCGAACAGCGACGCTCCGAAGCCCACGACTCCTCGAGAGCCTCAATCGCCTCGGTCTCCCAGTCCACCAAACTCCGAGTATCAGCCCGTCGTCTGTGATGACGAGCCAGCTCCTCTGCCGGCAGTAACGCTTGGAGAACCACACACATCAAGCATAGCAAGCGCTACCACAATAGCACCGTCCAATGACGAAGGCATAGATAGGTCTAATCACGCCAGTACCGGTGATAGACCAGCTTTCGAGCAAGACTCTCCAGAGCAAGTCGACGCGTTATGCACAGGCATCACACCACGAGGCACAGCACGCACGTCCAGCTCGTTCGGGGCAAACCTAGAGAACGCCACGGCCATTTGGGTCGACCTGCTTCTCCAAGATGCGGCCATGCAAGAAATCGATTTCACCAACGTCAATTTCGAAGAAGGCGTGGATCTCTTTGCAAGTTCGGTCGTGCAATCACCTGCTGTGGGGCGGGGTTTACCAAACACCAGTGGAGAAGGCCTCAGTCCTACGCCATGCGCGTCACATCCCTACTTGCATGAGAGATCTCCGACGCTCGATGAATACCAATGCCTCGAGAAACAGGCTTGGCGATCGGCTACGCCTCTACCAATACAAGCGCAGGAACATGTTGTTTTCCAAAATTTTGTGCAACACATTAGTAGATGGGTAAGCTGGAAAGTAGCTGCCCGGAACAATCTTCGAGTAACAATCCTTGTTGGCATTAGATGGATTTATTCGAACCTAGACGCCCGTTTGGAACACTTGTCCCTCAACTTGCAGTACGTCGACGATTCTTGATCGGTAGCCTGTTCTAAGTATAAGTTAAAGGCAACATGCTGACGAGCTTTGACCAAACGCTGTTAGATGCATAATGTAGGGCTGCTCAATGCAGTTCTCGCTCTGTCTGCACGTCACCTCTCTTTGAGTACACACTCGGAAGACACACAAACCAGAGACCCCAACGATGCACTACGATATTATTACAAGACACTACACTATATCCAAGAGGCGATGCAATACGACACATACAAAACGAGCCTCGAACTCCTCGCGACCAGCATCACTGTATCAGCATACGAGATGCTCGACGGCTCAAGGCAAGATTGGGAAAGACATCTGAAAGGAGTCTTCTGGATCCAACGCTCACAAGTCATACATGGCGATTCCATGGGCTTGAAGCAAGCTGTCTGGTGGGCATGGATATGCCAGGATGTCTGGGCTGCCTTTCGCGAGAGGCGCCGTCCTTTTACATTCTGGCGGCCACTCAAGAAATTGGACGATCTAGGCCCGTCCGAGCTGGCTGCACGGTCAGTCTACTTCTTCGCTCAGGTGATCGCGTTCTGCTCGTATGAAGAGACCGAAGCGGGGAAGAATGACCCTCACGCGAGGATCGCGGCGGCTGATGCCCTGAGAGAAATGTTGGAAAACTGGAGGCGGCACCTGACGGCCGAGTTCCAACCACTCCCCTACCCGAGTTCTCCTGATGACATCTTCGAGCCAATCTGGATCAACCCTCCCGCATTTGGTAAGCCGTCTTCTCCAGAACTGCAAGCGCGATCGTACTGACCATTTACAGCGGTAGCTTTTCAAATCTACTACTGCTCCCACATCCTGCTCCTAATGAATGTACCCGTTCTAGGTGGACTTGAACAGTACACACAGCAGAGGAAGCGTCTGATGGAATGCGTCAAGAAAGTTTGTGGTATCGGCATGACACTGTCAGACTATCCATCGAGTGTTTTGTGCTCTCAGTGTCTATTTATCGGTACGTCTTCCCTTCCCTTGCAGAAACCAACTCTGATCCAACAAAGCCGGCATACCCCTCGAGAATAGTAGAGAACGGAAATGCGTTCTAAATCTGCTACAAGCCTGCCACGCTCGATCAGGCTGGCCTGTGAAGCCACTTGGGGAGGAGTTGAAGCTTCGATGGGAAGCTTCCGACGCCTAATAATACCCAGAACCTACTTCCATTCATGCCTGTCCCGCTGATCCACAAATCTCCATCCACTCCTTCGTCTGCCGGATGACATTGCTCGTACCCTCCTCGATAAGCGTCGTATGCGGCAACCGCGTGACCTGCGACCGGAGATGTGTATAATAATCGTCCAAAACAAGCCTGTTGACGTTTATCTTTGTCGCGCCCGCAGCAATGCACTGCTTCATCAGATCAGGCGGAAATCCGTTGGTACCGTGCAGAGCCACTCTTACTCTGCCGGCAATCTGGGCGCGTATCTTTTCGAATCTGCAAACCTCGTTATCAGTATCCTTGTTCCGGGGAGGGCTTATCCAGAAGTCATATCCTGCGCCCCGACCGGACATTACGTACCGTTCAAAGTCCAATTGCGGGCCCAACTTTCCGTACTCGCCGTGTACGTTGCCAAACGCCGGTGCGAGGGAATCCACACCCGTAGCGATGAACTCGTCAACTTCCTCGGCGGTGGTCTTGCTAGCTTCCAACCCGGCCGTGTCCATGACGCCGTCTTCGGCACCTTCTATCCTCCCGGGCTCGGCCTCGGTTGCAATCTTGCGTTCGTGGCAGTATTTAACCCATTTCGCCGTCTTTTCTAGGTTCTCCGCCTTTTCGTAATGGGACATGTCGACCATGATGCTGTCGAACGGCAAGTTGTCGGCTGCATACTGGATAATCTTCTCGTCTTGCGCGTGGTCGAGGTGAATTGAAATTGGAACGGATACTCGGGACACGGCTTCTTTGGCGGTGCGGACCAGCAGACCGTCGGCGTAGGTGACTGCCCAAGGGAAGAATTGGATGATGAGAGGCGAGCGGGCTTCCTCGGCTGCGGTGACGAGGCCGTGGATCTGCTCGAGGTTATATGCGATGGCGGCAATCACGCCGTATCGGCCCTTTTCGGCTTTGGTCAGGATCTGGATTGTCCTGTTCTCGTCTTTCCAGTTTGCCGGCACAGTCATAGTTGCAATAGATGCGTTCTTCGAACTCCGCTTAATGTGTCTGTCTTGTGGAACGATTCCAAAGTTCCAATCCAGACCGGGCCAGACGTTGAAAGGTCGCTGCGTATTTCAATCATATCTATGGGCTAATGAACACGGTGATGATGTGTAATTGTGTTTGGTGTTGTCTGTCATAGGCGCGCTGCTGGCTTGCTGTGGGGTCACCGTCGTCTCGAGGGAAATTTTGGACCCCCGGCCCCCGGCACGATCTGATCTGGAGGCGGAATGGGCGATCTTAGTTTCGCGGGGTGGACTCAGTTGGTAGACTTGTGGGTCCGAAGCTTCTCAGCTTGAACTTTTCAGTAATCAGATCATTCAATAAGCAGGCTCGCATACGAGTCTTGGTTCAGAGGCAAACCTCAGTTTGGTGAAGTAAGCCCGTTCATTCATTTTCCAGCATAGAGCACAACTTGCCATCACAACGCACGGCTCACAATGTCATCCAACACAGAAAATCTCGATTCATGGCAAGTTCATGACGAATCATTTCGAGAAATTATTGGTTCAAGCCCATCGCTGGATCTCTTGTTGCAAATCGACTCTTATCCCTTCGCTCACGAAGCCGGCGTCTTCATACCCTCAAACGATGAACTGTTCATCACCAGCAACCAGTTCACCGATACAGATGGCTCTAGAAAAGTCCAGATTTCCAAAATATCGTTGCCCACCGGTGGGAAAATTGTAAAACATGGAGAGATCTCATGTCCGGAAATCGCGATGGGCAATGGCGGCGTCAACTACGGTGATGACATTCTCTTCTGTGCCCAAGGCTCGATGACACAACCTAGCGGTCTGTTCAAGATGTCAAGGACACCTCCGTATGCGACCGAGCCAGTCATCACTTCTTTCCATTCTCGGCCCTTCAACTCTGTGAACGATGTTGTCGTCAGCAAAGATGGAAGCATATGGTTCACTGATCCGCCATATGGCCATGAGCAAGGTTATCGCCCTCCTGCGACACTGCCTAGCCAGATCTACCGCTTTGATCCGGCGACGTCTTCTATCCGGGCTATGGCGGATGGTTTCGGCAGGCCAAATGGAATTTGTTTCTCGCCTGACGAAAGAACTGTCTACGTAACAGACACGGATCTTGTCCACGGTGATGGTACGATAGACGGCAATCGGGCTTCGACAATGTGAGTTATTCGATTCAGATTTGTTTCAAAAGTGGTGCCACTCTCAGCTCGTGTACTAAAAACACAGATACGCTTTTGACGTAGAACATCGCCACGGACAACCCGTGTTGCTGAACAAGAGACTATTCGCATTCGCCGACGTCGGTATACCAGACGGAATCAAGTGCGATACGAAAGGAAATGTCTACAGCGGATGCGGGGATGGCGTGAACGTTTGGTCCCCAGGCGGTGTCCTACTCGGTCGTATTCTCGTCGACGGTGGCACCGCCAACTTTTGCTTCGGACGCGGGGGCGAGCTCTTCATACTCAACGAGCATCGTCTCTGGAGAGCACAGTTGAGCAAGTCGGTCAAGGGTGCGCTTCTTGAGATCTGAGATCCTTGACGGGATCTGGCACGGTGCTTTGGTGTGAGCTGCTGTGGCTGCATCGCGGTCAGTCACCTCAAAATGGGAGACGCATCGGGAACGACGCCTGTGGCGTGCATCGTGGCACACTTCTGCTATGTGAAAGTCCACCAAACGCGGGTTAGCTGCACCATGCATGAGTGTTGATATTGAATGCTAGTGCCAAGCCAAGTCTGCGAAACAAACACTTTTGCCATTCTGTCACGCACTCGGTCTGATTGTGCTTTACCCATCGGATCTCATCAGGTGACATGCCGTTCCTGTGCTACACTGGAAAGATGTGATGAACTACCCCATGTGGCCAGTCAGAATTTCCAAATTGGATAGAATTCTGCACACTCGACTTTGATCGATGCCGATTGGTGAGATGCACCAGCACTATCCCGTTAACGAACGACGTTTCTTCCCATTTCATTACCAAAGGGACTACTCGCATCTTTCATCAAAACGCAAGATATCGGAACTTGTCCGCAAGCTCTCAAACCCCAAGGGTCGCTGTCAATCCCGCAACTATCCGCCGCTCCAACCCCTCTCTATCTTGGCTCTTTTTTATCGTCTGGCGTCGCATCCTACCGCGGCGAATGACCAACTGCCGTTGGTTCAGACACCGGTCGATAGCGCAAGTACAGGGGCGCTGATCCTCGCGAACGCATGCACCCCGCAGGCCACGTCTGGCAGGTCGGGTTGTTTTGGAGAGAGGGGAGCTCCGAGCCGGGAGAGCATGCGGGGGTGATACCGGATAAGTCTGGCAATGGGACGATCGACCCCCTTCTGTTAGACGGCGTGATAGCGCAACGTTGATCTGGGAGAATGCAACGTTGTTGGATGGACAATGCAGTGCAGCCCGGTTGGGGCGAGGAGATACCTAGCTGCGCGCACCTCGTTCCGTTTGGAGATATGTTTCCCCCATGGTGGACGAACCTATCTTCTCGCCCGATAGCTGGGCCGAGACCCGACTCCCCCGCCTTCCGCCCGCCACACAACTCTAAGTTGGACGATAATTGCAGAGGTATATAGCCTCGGTAACTTCCCCGGAGAAAATCATGAGAGATGGTTACTTGTTTCCAAGCGTCTTCTTTGTCTTTTGACAAGTAAGTCTTCCAACGGACCCGGCAGCACACGGCGTCGATTCCTCGGGTAACAATGTCCGGAAAGGTGGAGACCGTCGGAGAGGAGCCGACCCCGGCCCGGGAGGAGGATATCGAGAAGATCCCCGCACGGGTGGACAACCCGGAGCAAAAGATCTCGGACCAGATATCCCACGAGAAGCTTGAGGAGCTGGCACCCAATGGAGAAGGAGAGTACATCTTGGAGAAGATCAATGAGATGACGGAGGAAGATGCCCTCGAAATCATTGAAGAATCAGTCGAGTTCTTCAAGGACGACTGGAACTTCCCCTCCGATATGAGAGAAAGAATGAAGAAGCTGCTCGAGGGACCAAAACAGTACGGGGAACACTACGATCGGGACTTGAGAATTGACGCCGTCATGATCCGCTTCTCCTCACCCTACCCTGGGGTTCGCGCCGTGGCCGAGATTTTGGACGACCAGAGTGTGCCCATTGAGACGTTTCGCGCATACTTCCTGGGTATAGGCTGGGCAATCATCGGAACTTTTATCTCGACATTCTTCAACTCAAGGTTCCCCGCCATCGGTGAGTATCACATCTCATATGTCTTCCTCGAAATCGTTTACTAAAGCCGAGTTTGTGTAGGCTTAAGTGGTCAGGTTATCCAGATCCTGCTCTTCCCATGCGCCAAGGTCCTCGAATTTGTTTTACCTGACTGGGGCATCACCGTCCGCGGTACGCGGCACTCTCTGAATCCAGGACCGTGGAATTTCAAGGAGCAAATGTTTGCTACCATCACGTACAACATTGCCATCTACACCACCAATAGTTACGGCATGATCCTGGTGCAGAAGTCACCAGTCTACTACGGTCTCGACTTCGTCAACTTTGGGTACCAGCTGATGCTCACCCTCTTTGTGCAACTCATGGGTATGGGATTCGCCGGATACCTACGACGGTTCAGTGTGTACCCCGTTAAGGCTCTCTGGCCGACGATCCTGCCGACAATCGCCATGAACAGAGCGCTCACCAGGCCGGAGCCGAGAGAGAACATCAACGGGTGGACAATCTCGCGGTACAAGTTCTTCTACGTCGTGACCATCTGCATGTTCTTCTACTACTGGTTCCCAGGCTACATCTTCACGGCTTTGGCGACGTTCAACTGGATGACCTGGATCTCGCCCCAGAACGTGACTCTAGCAATCATCACAGGATCCTCGCTGGGCCTTGGCTTATTCAACCCCATCACCACGTTTGACTGGAACGTGGCGACCTCCTCGTATGCTGCTTTGGCACAGCCATTCTTCGCGACGTGTACAATGTACATCGGTGCCATTCTGGGCGGGGTCATCATCATTGGTATCTACTACACCAACATGTACAACACGGCATACCTCCCAATCAACTCCTCATCTGCGTTCGCCAATGACGGCACGCCGTATGTGGTCCAGAATGTGGTCTTCAACAACCAACTCAACGAGACTGCTTATCAAGAATACTCTCCTCCGTTCTACTCAGCTGGCTATCTCCTCACCGTCGGAGCCAACTACTGCTTCTATCCAATTTACTTTTTGTACATCATGGGGTTCGTACTACAACATGCTCGTCGCTATACTCAAGAACTAACATGGATTACAGAAACCAATGGAAGACAATTTCCCAAGCATACATCGACTTCTACAAAGGCCTCCGCCACGGAAAGGGCAACTACGAAGGCGCAATGGACATCCACAGCCGACTCCTCGCAAAGTACCCCGAAGTCCCAGACTGGTGGTTCCTCATCATCCTCGTTGCCGCCATCGTCGTTTCCGTCATCTTCCTCAACATCTACCCGCTCGGCACCCCCGTCTGGATCGTCTTCCTCATGATCGCCATCAATCTCGTCTTCGCCGTGCCCCTCTCCTTCCTCTCCGCCACGACGGGCACCAACCTCGGCCTCGGCGCTCTCATCCAGGTCATCACGGGCTACCTCCTCCCTGGCAACACCAACGCCTTCCTCTTCTCCCAGACTCTGGGGTCTTGGGCGCTCGCGGGCTACGGCGACAATTACGTCCAGGATCAGAAGATGGCGCATTATGCCAAGATTGCACCCCGCGCGGTGTTCCGGAGCCAGATTGGGACGATCATCATTACTTGCTTCGTAGCTGTAGCTACGCAGAACTTCATCTTGGAGAATGTCAAGGGGCTGTGTACCCCGACGCAGCCTAGTCGATTCACATGCGCCAACGATGGTGCTCCTCTCTACACAAACAGCTTGATGTGGGGTCTTCTTGGCTCAGAGCGCATGTTTGTGTCTTTCTATCCGATCCTCAAATGTGAGTTCAAGTTTGCAGGAGCGCAGTGATGATATTGGATTATATGTGCTGACCGCTGAATAGGGTGCTTCCTCTTTGGAACGCTCATTGCCATTGTTTTCCTGGTCGGTCAAGGCTACGGTCCCAAGTATCTCCCAGGCGTCAGAGAAAAGCTACGACTCAAGCTGAGCCCAAAGACGTTTGCTCGTCTGGACAAGACTCTCTTCCCCTTTGTGGCCTCCTTGCTGTGGCTGAACCCGGTCCTTGTCATTCAGGGCATCCAACATTGGGCACCGTCAAACTTATCGTACAAAACCCCTGGCTTCATTCTCGGATACATCTTCATGTACTGGCTTCCTAGGCATCGTCTGGCCTGGTGGGAAAAGTACAACTACGTCCTGTCAGCTGCCTTGACTGCCGGAGTTGCCGTTTCAGCGCTGGTCATGTTCTTCGCCGTTGGATATAACCCAATCGCCTTCAAATGGTGGGGGAATACGGTGAGCGGTGCAGGAGTCGATGGATCTCAGATTGGAATTCTCCCCATTCCCGAGAGAGGGTACTTTGGGCCCGAGAAGGGTAGCTTCCCGACATAGGTACAACCTCTTGACTCTAGATTCGAGCAGGAATGGGGGCGAAACGGTCACTATCCCTCAACATGATCAAAGAGAACTAAGCGGGATACCCGAGCAGCAAAAGGTGGGGCCGAACCCCGGCGCGGGGCCGTTGTCACGGGGCTCAATGCAGTTCGGCCGCCAATGTTTGACATTGATGGGCCCCTTAATTTTGCCAATGTGCCAAATATCATGCCGCAATTATTCACTCATCTTGACTCAATTGCAACTTGAATGGAACCAGTTGTCAGAAACTCTGACGAGACATAATCATGACGCTTTTCGTGCTATGTAACTGTGTTAAAGTATGGACATGAAAGTTAACCCCTAAAACAGGTCGAAACATCAATGAAGTGTTTGGTCCCAATCCCAATGAGAACGCCGTTTCTATCCGCAGCAACGCTGCATGCAATACATGTTCCAGCCTGACATCCCCAACTTTATAATGCGCTACGCGCACAGTCTTTACTGCTGGTCGAAGAGGTAGACATTCTGCTCGAGCTGGCGGAGGTTGAGCTGCAACTAGTTAGTCCCAATTCTTCCCGATTTGACTTCACTCGACTTACGAAGCTGGTGCTGATGTTGTGAACATCAGTCGCACCCATCTGGGCTCCATCACGGACAATCTCAGTCTTCATGATGTTGATGGCCTTGGTGACACCCGGGAGACCGTAGCAGTTGGCGTACATGAAGGGACGTCCCATACCGACCGCCTTGACGCCGAGGGCAAGAAGCTTCAAAACGTCGTTACCGTAGCGGACACCGCTGTCGGCAATGACATCGACCTTCTGGAAGACTTCGGGGGCGTTGCGGTAGATCTCGTAGGCGATCTCGAGAGGGCCGGGGGTGTGATCAAGCTGACGGCCGCCGTGGTTAGAGATGTAGATAGCCTTGGCGCCCTTCTCAATAGCAAGGAGGGCCTCCTCGGCGGTGGTGATGCCCTTCAGGATAATGGGCAGGGAGGTCTGGTTCTTCATCTGGTCGTAGATGTCCCAGGTCAGAGCAGAGGAGACGGAGTTGGCGTTGGTGGTGTCGTAGCGGGCAGCACGGTGACGAACGGAGTCGCCGGGAGCGTCAATAGTCCAGACGATGGCCTTGGCACCGGTGCGTTCGGCACGGCGGATGTTCTCCCACGTAACGGAGAGGTTGGCGTTGGTGTAAATCTGCTGGAAGATGACCTGGGGTCCGTTGAGGGTACCGTTCACCTTGCCGGTGGCGATCTCCTCGATGGACTTGGAGGCGTACATGGACGGGATGTACAGGATGTTCTCGTTCCCGGCGGCGCGGACGAGGTTCAGCTCGGCGTCCGGGTCTCCGTAGACGGCGCGGGCGGCGGGCGCGATGAAGAGCGGGGCGCTGAAGTTGTAGCCGAGGATGGTGGTGGCCATGGTCTCGTTGAGCTTGGTGACGTCGCTCAGGTGCTTGGAGCGGAGCTGCACCTTTTGCCAGACGTCGAGGTTGTGGCGGTAGCTGTACTCGCCGGCAGTGCCGGTGCGGTAGAAGGAGTACTTTTGGTTGTCGAGGTGCTGGCGGGCCGCCCAGTCGAAGTCGGGGATGGCGCGGATGTCCTTGAGGAGGGGGAGGGATCCCTTGGTGTAGTTTGTGCTGTCGAGGTAGGTCTCGAAGCCGGTGTCGACCTCGTTGACCCAGGGCTCGCCGGCCATGGCTACAGCCAGGAGCTGCGTGGCGATGAGGAAGGACTTCATCTTGTGCGGCGTGTAATGAACGTGAAAAAGAGTGAATGGATGGAAGTGAGTGACGATTCCTTCCAAGCAGCGTAGAAATTCTCCTCAAAAAAGCATGGCAATCTCAGAGAACTTATATGTGTGCCCTTCCGCTCGGTTTCCGCCAGCAAACACCCCTCCCCCTGATCACGATGATCTCCATCCTACTTACACCGCTGACCTTGTCGGGGCATTTTGTACCCGGCGGCCTCAGGGTTGGGCCGCATGGGCTTCAGAAACCAAACGGTACTGGTTCATCTCATGTCTTGAGAAAACAAACATGTTGGGTCTTGATCCGAGTCAACCGCCAAGTTGGAAACTAGGGCCTCCCTTGATGCACGAGTCGAGACGAGACGAGAAATGCTCTCCTACTGGTTGGACACGATCTAATCTAATCAATTCGACGGATCCCAACTTTCTGGATTCCTTGGCTGAGGCACCCCTTCTCCGTGGGGGGCCATCGTCAGTCATCCTGACTAATTGTGGGTGTTCTGGGTCCCAAGGGCAACCGAGCCTCACGAGAAGGTCTCGAGTTGCCTAAACGGGATGGTTTTGGCGATACTTTTGACCCTCTCATGGATACCCTATCCACCATCGTCGGATCACCGGCGCATCAACCTCTACTTGAAGAGGAGTCAGCTCATAGCGACAGAGTCCTCCGCGAGCCGGTCTGCTAAGAGCCATCCTATCTAGGAGACGGGAGGGGCACCGTGCTAAGGGGAGAGTCTCTATCATAGGAAACCAGCATTCCTCACAGATAGCCAAGATTGCGCACGCCGAGACCTGTCAAGAGACCTGCCCGAGAAAGCAGGTTGATCGCAGCCGGATCCGGTCCTCCGAGGTCTTGGCTCGGACCAAGACTCCATGTCCAGCGGGTGCGAATATCGACGACATTGTTCGCTTGCATGCGCCTGTCGGTTATGTTTCTTCTTTGGCACTGGCTTGATTCATGCGCGTTTTCTGACCCAATGTAACGGAAACTCCGCCATTGTGGATATGCTTCTGGTATGTTTTGTCGGACTTCTTGCGCATAGTTTGGACGAACAGGAAAACGAGAGAGCCCTGGTCCCGAGTCCTAAAGAGATGAAATTAGGTTCTCGGCTCTAGGAGAAGAAGTGGGCCGCTGTCGAAATAGAGTGAAGGATCTCTTGTCGATTCGGAGCTTGGCGCGGATGCAGATTGCTTCCCTGCTAAATCTCTGGTTCGGGCTTAATGGTTTGAGTTATTATTCTCCGGGGGGTTTAACGGGTCTTTAGGAGAAAATCCGCCCTCGTCATTGGGGCTCCGGAGTCCTCCAGCTCCGCGTGAAGTTCATAAACTTTTGCCTCAGGAAATTTATGGGCTTCCCCGGTGATTCCATAGCCCAAGTATGGAGTCTCGCGCGCGGTTATTCTTCACACCAAACCCCAGCAAAGAAATCAAAGTTTCTTATGATGGAGGTGATGTGCGAGTTTTGTGTAGTGTTGGAAATGCTAATCTTCCTCAATGACAATCACAAAAAGAAAGAGAGAGAAAATTTGACAGAGCGTCGAGAACTGACAGCTTCGTTTTCGATATCGAAGAATGTTAAGAAGAGCATCATCACGTAATATCCGCTGCTGACGTAGAGCTAAACGAACAACCGCCTCGAGTAAGATAGCCAAGCACAAAATGGAACACTGATGGGAATGGTTTCTGATACGCTCATTGCGGCTCTACAATATTCAAACCCATGAAAGATCCACGTGCTTTCTATGGGCGTTGAACATGGATTTGATGACCAACTAAGATGAGGCTCTCTTAGTCTGAATGATACAGTCGCATTGAGATGGGTCCTGCAACAATGACAATATGCGCTCACCCGACCCGACTCCCGACGCGACTCACGCGAGGGATGACAAACCCCCACGCCCAGATCGACAAGAATCCGTGCTCATCCTCGCAGCCATCTTCAAGGTCTCATAGGGCTTGGGTCCGTGACGCTTGGAGAAGGTCTGAGACCACAACGTATTTCTTACCCCTCGAGGTGGACACATCTTGGGCAGCACGGGGCTCGGAAAGGAAGTTGAGTATGGATAATTACTCAGCCTGGCTATCAAACATGTTGAGCCGCAATCATGTAAAAGGCATGCTGTTCAGGGCCATTGACGCAATACTGAATCTGGTCCCTTTTGTGGCATTCAAGCAAAGGGTAAATTGAAGATCCTGCAAGTACAACACAAAAGATTGTCAGGCTCAATCAAGATCCCATACAGCACTGATTGATCAAAGCTCATAATATCTTCTATTCTTAAAATGCTAAGTGGTTACAGTAGCACAATTTGCGATGACTTTCTTTACATGCTTTCCTTCGACATCATGGTCATTCATCATCACATTCATTTAGCAGACTAGTATCATTGTCAGCAAATTTCCCCCTTCTCCAAAGGATAATCCCGGGGTCTCAACTTACTTCCAATGACACCGTTTACGGGGATATCAATCGACGTCGTATAGCTCGCAGCGTCGCTCAAAAGGTAAACGTATGCGCCACCGAGCTCCTGGACCTCGGCCAAACGTGGCATACCGCCGTAGTACTTGAGTTGCTGCTCCCAGTCCGGCTGCTGCGGCACCCAGTAGGTCATGGCCGTGTTGACGAGACCGGGCGAGACGCTGTTGACGCGGATGCCGTACTTTGCCCACTCCATGGCGAGCGTGTGCGCCATGTTGCGGACGCCAGCCTTCGAGGCGCCGTATGGTGCCGATGGGACGCGCTGCGCGTAAGTCAGTCATTGTGTGCTCGTTTGCTTCTGCTTCAACGGAATCAAGAGTTGTAGCATACCTTGTTGGGGCGGTAAGAAGCCATGGAGGCCGTAAACACCACTGAGCCCTTGATGTTCAGCTTGATGAAAGCTCTTGCCGCCGCTCTGGCGGTGTAAAAGGCACCAAACAACTAATCATTCCATCGTCAGCACACACATCTCATTCCTTTCATAAATGTACCTCCTCAAACATACGTTGACACCAAACAACGACTCAATCTCCTCCTTTGTGAAATCAAGCGCGGCCTTGTGGTTCGTCCGGCCAGCGTTGCAGACGACACCGTGGATCGCGCCGGCCTCCTCGACAATCTTGTCAATGGCGGCCGTGATGCTCGCCTCGTCGGTGACGTTTGCTGAGATCGAGAAGAGGCGGCCGGGGAACTGCTTCGACGCCGCGGCGAACTCGTCACCGGGCTCCGCGAGGTCGATGGAGTAGACCTTTGCTGCGTTGTTGAGGAGGCAGCATTCTGCGACGCCGAGGCCGATGCCGCGGTTTGCGCCGGTTACTAGGGAGGGTGGTTATGAGTAAAATGGCCAAGTCGATCTTTTGTTGTTGCAAAGGAGGCTTGATGATGATGGCTTACCTGCGATAACTTTTCCGGAGAGTGTCAAGATGGGTTGGACGTTGACGGCCTTGGGGTCAACGGCTGCTGCTCCCGTCTCGACTGCTGAAGGTGCCATGGTGAATGCTTCAAAGTTATCGGCTTCAAGTTGAACTCTTGGAATGATACAACAAGGAGGGCGCGAGTTGACTTTTGTTGGTATCTGTCTCGGTCGATGCTACACGCAAATTCAACAGTGACATATCAAACCCCAGGGGTTCATCTGCTTTAAAAGCTAAAAGCTACATCATACATGGTTTCCCGCATCTCCGAACACGCTCTGCCGAGTTCTACATCTCCCAATTCCCCGTGCATGTGTGTACCATGGCATTCGTCACATTGCAGCGAAGTCTGAGATTTCTGTTTAGCTACAGTCACAGTCTAGTCATTGTCATCCCTCGAGACGACTGAGAATCGTCTCATCCCCAATCTCGTTCAATTTGTATTCTCCACAATCGCGGGGAAATCTGTAGCTATTGCCCTCGAGACGAGGAGCCTAGGATGCGGGATGCGGGGGAATCTCCACCATCGAGCGCCCAGTCGCGATGGACATCCCTCCGGCTGTAAGACAGGCTTTCTTTTTCTGGTCTCGGGACAGCGAGTCGCGCGTACAATAACCTAATTGCGCTAGTTCTCGGTATGCTTCCGTGTCAGAAGGGACCCTCGAGTCGGCCGAAATGTCAAGTTCATAGACACGAATCAATTCTTGAGCTGGTGGCAATTGCTAGCTCGACTTTTGGATCACTGAGCTAAAAGAGCTACCCCTGCTTGCCATCTGCGGTCAGGGTCTCTGGATATGTATTAAGAAGTCGACGTGAGGATTTGCTTGCTTTCTTTCAATCAACTAAACCCGTCACTCTCTTGTCATTCTCATACCTAGATACCCCAGAGACAAGGAGATCGAAAACCACAAAATGAACGCCAACTTGCTTAGATCTCGCCTGTTGCCGGCGGTGCAGGCCGCGCTGCCCAAGCAGCAAGTCAGAAGCGTCACAACTCGCTCGGTGCAATGGGAGCTCAACACTGGCGCAAAGATCCCCGCCATTGGCTTCGGAACGTTCCAAGACGCCGATGCGCAGGAGGAAGCCGTGAAGACGGCGCTGAAAGTCGGATTCCGTCACATTGATACCGCGAGAGTGTAAGTATCCCCGTCCATCCTAGCTTGATCACCAACCAGACAAAATTGAAGCTAAGTTTCTGTGTCCCATAGTTACGACACTGAAATCCAAGTCGGCAAGGGCATCAAAGCCAGCGGCGTCCCGCGCGAGGAAATCTTCCTGGGCACCAAGCTGTGGTGCAACTCGCACCACCCAGACGACGTCGAGGCCGCCCTCGACGCCTCCCTCAAGGACCTCGACACCCCCTATGTGGACCTTTTCCTGATGCACTACCCTTGCACGTTCCAAAGGGGCGAGGACCGCTTCCCCAAGGGCGCGGATGGCAAGATGATTATGGGCAAGACGACGTTTGTCGATACCTGGAAGGCGATGGAGGCGCTGCTCAAGACGGGCAAGACCAAGGCCATTGGCGTCAGCAACTTTAGCAAAGACGAGGTGCAGACACTTATTGACAAGGGATCAGTGGTACGTTTTACTCAGTCTCGAGAGAAGAAGAGAAGAGGATGAGAATAGGGGCATAAGAGTGTGAGCTAACTACAACGAAACCCAGGTTCCCGCCGTCCACCAGATGGAACTCCACCCCTACCTCCAACAAAAGTCCTTCGTCGATTGGCAACGCGCAAACGGCATCCACATGACGCACTTCTCGCCCCTCGGCAACCAAAACTCGTTCTACCGGGAGGTCTCGTGGTCCAAGGAGGCCTCGCACATGGCCCGCGTCATCGACCACCCGACGCTCGCTGAGATCGCGAAGAAGCACGGCAAGACCCCCGTGCAGGTCGCCCTCGCGTGGGGCGTCAACAGCGGACGGTCCGTGATCCCCAAGAGCGTCATCGAGTGGCAGATTAAGGAGAACCTCGAGTCGGATTTCCTGCTGGACGGGGAGGACATGGACAAGATTGCCAAGATGGATCTGAAGGCGAGATTTAATGTGCCGTCTGAGGAGTACAGGTGGCAGTTGTACAAGGGGCTGGATGGAGTTGAATACTGATTAGTATCACCGGCGAGTTCAAACATGCACGTAGTTACTCCATAGTTGGCGCTTAGATCCTGGACTCTGGAAGAGTATTGTAAATTCAAAAATGGGTAGGGCCTCTAGATTTAACTGATGAAGCCTCTGTTTCTGGATTTGTGTCAAGCTAAAGGCTTCATGTTCATCGGAGACTGTAAGCGCGATTTGATGTCGTCTTGATGTTTGCCAGATCAAGCCCTAGTGGTTCTGAATAATGATATATCTTATCCCGGGTTACTCAAGCACAAAGTGATTCATTGAGAGGAGAGCAGGAAGCCTCCAGGACAGTCAAAGATTGTAATTTTGAAAGTGTGCTGTACCAGTGACTGCGCTTAGTTTTCAAGTCTCGCAACATGGCAAACCTTGGAGCCAAACTTCACTCTCACATTGTTCACCCTCCTGAGAGTGTGACGAGAGAAGGTAAATCACCGTCAAGCTAGGTCACTGATAAGTTGTGATTTGCCAGATTCTCCTATTAAGAGCGGTTCAGCCATACGGCGGGTATATTGTATTTGAAGTCTTGAAGTTGGTAGTACAGTCTACAGAAATTCAACCCTCCAAGTAGGGAGTCATCACGTCACATCACACCTCACGCCTCCGTCGCCCGCAGCAAATACCGCAAAACCCCCTGCACAGCACCAACAACAACCCGCGGCCTCTTCCACCACAAGAACACGGCCCCGACAACGAGCGGACTGCACACCAGCGCCTCAAAAGTCTTCATCAGCACCTGGCCCTGGTGGTCGCTCTTAGCCACGACCTCAGAGTATCGCTCGTTGCCGAAGCTGACACGCGAGTACTTGGTCTGCCATCCCAGCCCAGGAGCGTACACCGACATTTTCTCCTCCAGCCACTTGCGCAGGCGGTAGCGCGGCGAGAGCACCGAGGCGCGCATCTCGACGTAGTTTTGCAGCGCCAGGTCGTTGATGGAGTGCGCGTCGGGCACGCGGTTCGCCGTGTACTCGGCCAGCGCCGCGCCGCGGTGGTAGGCGACGGCCGCGTAGGTGTCCGCGGCGTCTGCTCGGCTTCCTGACGGGTCGTTGGCTTGGGCCTCCGCCAGCCGGCGGTGCTTGTCGAGGATGGAGAAGAGGATGCGGACGTCTTCCAGGCCCGCGTTCATGCCCTGACCGTAGAAGGGGACCATTGCGTGCGCGGCGTCGCCGACGAGGACGGCGGAGGCGTCGTAGTGGTGGGGGCTGCACTTGATGCTGATCAGGGGCAGGTGGGGGTTCCGCTTGAAGGACTCGATGAGGTCTTCGGCTGGAATTAGGTCTGTTACACCCGGGAAGTGCTTGTCGAAGAAGGCTGGTAGACTTGACGGGTCTTGTTCAAGAGCCTCTGTTTGGTTGTTAGGGAGGAATAGCGTGCAGGTAAAGGAGCCGTCCTGGTATCTTGTCAGTCGGGTGCACAGAAGCATGTTCGAGAGATACTCACATCACTGGGTATGGCGATGAACATAAACTCCTTGCCAGGCCAGATATGCAGATGGTTTGGTGAGATTCTGAATTGCGACTTGCTGTCCGGTGAGGAAGCTTTGGCAGGCTTGATCTGGAACTCGCACCAGAGGGTGTCGATGTACTCTTGCTTGTAGTTCATCTGAGCAAACTTCATCAGGTGATATCTGACGGCGGAGTGCGCGCCATCGGCACCAATCATAAAGTCGAAGTCAATTTCAATCTCTTTGGCGCGGCCGGTAGCCGACCCGGACGTCATGTCCTCGAACCAAGCCTTGCACTTCTTGAAGTCTGCGCCAGTGAGCTTGTGGCTGAAGAAGAACTTGACGTTTGGCATCTCTTCGAGGATGTCGAGCATGCGCTTGTTCAAGCCGGCGCGGTCCACAGCATAGATGGCCTTGCATAACGATCAGCGTCAGGTTGATATGGCTGGCATCCGGGATGAGACCGGGCTCAGTTGACTCACTCTACCGTGGACATCATAGTCCTGCGAAGCCTCGTACAGATCACCTTTCGGGGTCCTGCCGTGGATCATGCGCCCCCGCATAGGAATGGTGGCGCCAAAGACATGTTCCAGTAACTTTGGTTGGCCAGCATTGCGCATGGCGTTGATGCCGCGCTCGGAAAGCGCCAAGTTGATGGAACGGGTGAAGTTTAAGAGAGTTGTTGTGGGGTCTCTGAGGTCTACATGGTTGTGACTGTTAGTCTGTATTCAAACTCATATCAACTAGTAGTAGATAGTTGTGTTGTTATGTTGTTGCTGGCGATTGATAATGGCGTCAATCCACAGAGTTGCCGAGATCAGGATCCCCAGATAAGGCAGAGAGAGAAGCAAACAAACACGACCTTATCTGCATCGCATCCACCAACGGGACATCACATCATGGCAAACAAGACTATTGAATGCGGCAATTGGTGGGGCAGACGAGGGGCAGGATCCATGATCTTCAACGGCGCGCTGAGCCGGGCGGGAACAAGAGACTTTGCCAAACGGAAAAAGAAAAGCGACAAGCAAACTTACCGGCTCTCAACTCGTAGATCTCAACCTCGTACCCGCGCTGTGCTGCATAGAGCGCAGCCAAAGAGCCGACGGGGCCGGCGCCGACCACGACGACCTTTTGGTTCTTAGCCATGTTCGTTTGGATGATAAGTTTACTGGTTTATTTGTGTCTTTTCTCGCCAGCTTCATGACATGTGAGAGGGAATTTGGAGAAAGGTTCGCATGTAATAGTGGCGTGAGAGAGAGAACTTGAATTCAGAGAACCCGCATGATGATTCGACCCTTGGGCGGGTCAAGCCGGCCGGATGAGAGGATTGAAGGGGAACAGGCGTCAACGACTTTTTTTCTCAACTAAGGTCAAGGTTCGCTGTGTTTCCAACCCCCCGATGCCTTGAGCATAGAGCGCAGAGCGGCGCAAGTCGGATTCGGTCGCTGCTCGGTGGTGTTCGGCTCGCGGGTATTCCCCGGAAGCTCCGACAAGGGAAGCTCCGCTCAGAAACTTTTTCTTTATTCCAGGTTTCTTACAAGTCGTTTACCTTACCTAAGGTGCCTTAAGTCAAGGTGGGATGAAGTCCCTGGACCCTGGCCGTGGCGCATCTGGATGGGAGTGGCTTACATTGGAACTCAATCGCTTCTATGTCTTATCCTTATCGATAGCCACCGTTATCAGCCCCGAGATTGAACCGCAGGTGGAAAAAAAGTACTTACAGCTGCCCTGTGCAGATTGCAGAGCAGCGTGGTGGCTGCGGGGAGCCACGCACAAGCGCCTATCACAGAGCGTGGGACGGATACGGGCTTGGAAATATTTCTTTCGTCAGGTCACTTTTTGTTCGTTCGTAGCCGAATCGTCAAATTTAGGGCGTGTGTTTGAGAAACTGCGCCGCCGCCTCGTCTGTCCGAACCCTGCTCCAATTCCAGGGTCCTCGCTCTTTCACTCCTCCACTCGTCGATCATCGTCGAGCAATCTTTAGCCTCTTCTTCTTTCGAGTCACTAGGGAATACCTTCCGTGCTCGAACTCACCTAGTCGCATATCTACTTGTTGTACCCCTCCACCACCGCCCACCATGACTGAACCTCCCGCGAAGAAGATGTGCCTCGGCGTCGACTGCCCCAACGAGGCTGGCACCCTTCAGTGCCCGACCTGCTTGAAGCTCGGAATCAAGGGCAGCTTCTTCTGCTCGCAGGACTGCTTCAAGAAGAACTGGGTATGTTTCGCTATTGCCACTGACCTCATATTACAAACCATTCCCGCTGACCTCCAATCGCAGGGAAACCACAAGTCCATGCACAAGTCTGAACAGAGTATACTTCACCATGTCCTCCCGCCAAAGGTCGTCTCTAAACCAGATCCAGAGACAGGTGTATTCAACCCCTTCCCGACGTACCCCTTCACCGGACCCCTCCGACCCGTCTACCCTCTGTCCGAACGCCGTACCGTCCCCAAGCACATCCCCCACCCCGACTGGTGGAAGGATGGTATTCCCAAGTATCCGAGAAGCATCCTGAACAGGAACAAGGTCGACATACTGGACGCCAAGGGAATCGCCGGCATGCGCAAGGTCTGCCGCCTGGCGCGTGAGGTTCTCGACATTGCCGCCGCCGCCGTCAAGCCCGGCATCACGACGGATTACATTGACGAGATTGTCCACAAGGCCTGCATAGAGCGCAACGTAGGTCTCACTCTGGGTGCATATCGTGCGCGTCGGGCAGGAGAAGAAGGAGCAAAGGAGCTAACCAGACCAAACCGCAGGCCTACCCGTCGCCCCTGAACTACAACCACTTCCCCAAGTCCGTATGCACATCCCTCAACGAGGTCATCTGCCACGGTATCCCCGACCAGCGCGTGCTCCTCGACGGCGACATCCTCAACATCGACGTCACCCTCTTCTTCGAGGGCTACCACGGCGACCTCAACGAGACGTACTACGTCGGCGACCGCGCCAAGGCCGACCCGGACGCGGTCCGCGTCGTGGAAGCTTCCCGCGACTGTCTCGACGCCGCCATCGCTGCCGTCAAGCCCGGCACGCTCATCCGCGAGTTTGGCAACATTATCGAAAAGATTGCTAAGGAGAGGAACTGCAGCGTCATCCGCACGTACTGTGGCCACGGCATCAACTCGCTGTTCCACTGCCCGCCCAACGTCCCCCACTACGCCAAGAACAAGACGGTGGGCGAGTGCAAGCCCGGCATGACGTTTACTATCGAGCCCATGATTGCGCTGGGCAAGTACCGCGATGTCACTTGGCCCGACAACTGGACGAGCACGACGATTGATGGCAAGAAAACTGCGCAATTTGGTGAGTGATGTTTTTGTTTTGCGCATGTTCTCCACGATGCTGTGGAAGGCCATTAAGAAGAAGAATGGAATGGCAGCTAACAGGAACGAACAGAGCACACTCTTCTTGTGACTGAGGACGGAGTCGAGGTCCTCACAGCTAGAACGGCCACGTCGCCTGGCGGCAAGGTGCCGATGCCCGGAACGAACGGCGAAGAGAAGGAGACCACCGCATAATTGATAACATTG